AGTGTTGTTCCTAGCTTTTCTGTAATGAAGTTTATAGTCCTTGGTTTTAGTCCTAGGTCCATGATCCACCTTGAGTTGGTTTTTGTGTATGGAGTGAGGTCTTGCTTGAGTCTTTTGCAGATATTTTTCCAATTTTGCCAACACCATTTGTTAAAAAGGCTGTCGTATCCCCACTTCACTGATTTCATTTCCTTGTCAAAAATCAGTTGACCATAGATAGATGAAGCTACTTGAAAAGAAGATATTTTCCCAACTAAAAAGAAATTATGTATATCTGTATTTTAGTTGAGTAAATATAAAATTATTTCAATACTGAGAAAACAACTCACCAGTTCAAAGTCTTCCATTTGGTCTTCTAAATCCATTTTCAAGGATGTAAAATCTCCTTGCTTGGTAGATTCAGAAGTGTCATGTACATATTTATCCAGGGAATTAGAGGGGCCTGATTCAGGCTGGTTTTGACAGCTCTGTCCAGAAGTCAATTCCGGTGGCAGAGGGGAAGGAGGCTTTCTACAGATGTGAAGAAGAAAGAGTATTTTCACATGCATTTCAATATCAATAAGCTATGTGCCATAAACAAATGTTAAGCATCTGAAAATGTTTCAAAAAGCAATGAAGTTTTCTTTTTATTAGATTCTAGTCACTTTCTGATTCTGAACCATGAGCTCATTTTCCAGGCGTTGCATGCTAACACTTCCAATTTATTATCTGTCCAGGTTCTATTTTGAAGATGCTTTTTAGGTTGTATGAACCAATAAGACAGGTTATATGTAAAACTTTTGATTGTGATTCCTTGTTAATTCAAAGCTGAGGATAATGTTGCCAAAAGTGTGCTTCAAACTAATAAGAAAATGAAGAAAAAAAGAAAGGCTTACTTATGTGGTTATTTCTAAAGATAGAAGAAGAAAAAGAAAACAAAAAAAACCCATCAAATACCATGAACTGGATTGGACCTAGGTATATTCCAACACGTAAATCAACTGAGGCACAGAGACCTGTATACCAGTATTCATAGAAGTGTTACTCACCATTAACTCACCATTACAAGAACATGGAAACAGCCCAACCAACTGTCCAGCCACAATCGAATGGATTGAGAAGTTGTGCTACATTCACATAATGGAATACTATGCAGCATGCAGGAGCAATGATTTAGCAAATTACTACCTAATATGGGAGGGATTGGAGAGCATTATGCTGAGTGAACTATCTCAGTCCCATAAGGACAAATACTGTATAGGACCATTATTGTAGAGGGTATATGAGGATCCAAGGGGGGGAGGGGTGGCTTAAATATAGGGTCAAACAATTCGATGGGTGGAGGGAGGGATTGGTAAAGAAAAGGGAAAGGGCCGGTGTGAAAACCATGTATATGAACTTTGTATGTAAACCAATATAAAATTTTTTTTAAATGCATGAATATCAATTTTGAAATAGGGACACAGTATTTCTCCTTGTACTCCTCCAATATTTCTCCTTTCACCATCTTCTGTACTCTTTTGTCTCTTGCTTTTCGCACATTCCCAATCTCAGTTTCTCTTTGTATTTCCATATCTACTTTTCTACTCATCACAACTTAGACAAGTTTCTTTTCTTTCTGCTTAAGTTGAAATATAACCTTGCCAATTACTAGTAAACAAAGTCAGGCTGAATGCTTAGAGAACTTACTGGTTTGCTAATTAAACCTGCCAATGCAGGCAGACATCGAACAAGGTCATCATCATCGGCCTAACAATTTTGAAGTTTACAGATAGACAAATTCCATTCTTAAAGGAATCCAGGAACCTGGAGAAAGGATGAAAGTCATGCAAGGGTCGAGGACTGTCGTTCATAGTGTCGCTATGAGTCGCCTACGAATTGATGGCACTTAATAACATAGAGAGAGACCAGCTGGCCCAGTGGATCGAAAGTGATGCTACCAAGCCAAGGTGGATGACTCTAATCCGCAGCCCTCGGGTCAGTTCTTAATTGTTTTTGGTCAAACATTCTTATAGGTCGTATAGCCCTGTTGTGTCCACTTGCCGTACAGGGGCAACCTGCAGTTGCTGTGAAGCTGAACGCTGTGACACCGATGTGTCAAATGCCGATAATGGTTACCCATGGTGAACAGCGTTTGGTGGGGCTCCCTGGTTAAAACAAGCTTGGAAGCAGGAGTGGCATCCACTTCCGTAATAGCTTGCCTCCTGAAACCTATGAACCTGGAGAAAGGATGAACGTTGTGCAAGGGTCGAGGACTTTCGTTCATAGAGTCACTATGGGTCACCTACGATGGCACTTAACAACAACAAAGAAATCTATGCAGTTGCTACTGTTACTAACACCAATCGGTCGTATCAAGTACTATTGACAATACCTGTGTTCAAGTTCTGGTTTCTTAGGTATTTCCTGAGGACAGTAAAACATGGCACACATGGAATCTTTGTGACTCTCGGGCACTTCATATTGGCCTTGTGCTTGTGATACCATGTTGCATAGAGTCTGACGCAGAGCTAAACCCCAGCTCGTATTTGACACTTTTCTTGCAACTTTCTGTAAGTCATCTTCTCCACTCCCGCTGCTGTCACTGTAACTGTTTCTTCTGGATGGGGATTTGCACTGCTTCTTGCTTTTGCCAGACACTTCATTTTCATCTGAGCTGGTAGCTTGTTCCACACAAGACGGCTGAGGAAGATCTTTACTGTTGTTTGGAAGAATTTGTGCTGGGGAGTGTAGTGTGGTCTATAATGGAGATATGTAAAAACATAAGTGACACATTTCATTTTAGAAACAATTAAAAGTAAGATGTTGAACAATGGCACTTTTCAATTTGCTGATAATTAAACAATGCTCTTTATAGAATTAAAACACTGCATACAAATATACAGTATAATAAAGTTACGTATATTAAAATGATAACATTTAATAGTTTAAAACTTGAATCTTTACATTAGAATTGGGGTTATACTACTGTATTTGGTATCCTGCTTTAAAATTTCAAGTTCCAACATGAGCATTTTTCTGAGGTTTTTAAACGTCCTCTAAAAATAATAGCTAATAGTTGTATAACAATTCTCCCTATGGATATACTGATAATTTATTTTATAATTTTCCGTCTATTGGATGTAGAAATTTTCTGTTTTCACTATTAATAGAAACCTATGATAAAAACATACCTTGCTGAAAGTGAAGAGTATTTGAAACACTTGCTGCAGAAAATCAAAGACTATACCCTTTAATATAGATTACATATTTTTTTTTAAATTTAGGTTGTTTATTTTTCATTTCAATGAACATCTACAGAGATTTTGGGATTCCATTCATTCATCGTTGCACCCTTCTCCCTGCACAAACCCCTCCCCCCCTATTTGCTCCTCTCCTTAACTGCAGAACCAATAGGCAACATTATGATGTTGTTGTGGTTATGTGCCGTCGAGTCGCTTGCGACTCATAGCAATCCTATGTACAACAGCTCTAAACTCTGCTCTGTCCTGTGCCAATCTGTCTCCGACATACTCATCCCAATTGCCCCAGTCACCGAATTAATCCATCTCCCAGAGGGCCTTCCCCTCCTGTGCCTGCCCTCCACCCTCCCAAGCATGATGTCTCTCTCCAAGGACTGGTCTCTCCTTACAACATAACCAAAGTATGTCAGACGAAGTCTCAGAATCCTTGCCTCCAAGGAGCAGCCTGTTTTAACCCTCTCCAGAATGAATCTGTTTATTTTCTTAGCAGTCCATGGCACCCTCAACACTCTTCTCCACACCAAAGCTCAAAAGCATCAATTCTCCTTCTGTCCTCCCTGGTCATTGTCCAGCTCTCTGACGTATAACAAGTGACTGCAAAGACCATGGCCTGTACCAGATGCACCTTAGTCTCTAGAGACACACCGTTGCTCTTGAGTACTTTAGAGAGGTCTCTAACAGCAGACTTTACCATCACAATACGTCTTTTAATTTCCGGGGAAAAAAGACTGAAGTTGTCAATGATATTATTTCACCTGGATCCACAAACAATACTCATTGTGACAGTAGTAAAAAAAAAAAAAAAAAAAAGAAAAAGATTTGTTGTACTGGGAAAATCTTTTATCAAGGACCTCTCCAAAGTGTTAAAGAGCAAGGGTATTAGTTTAAAGACTAATATATGGTGCTAAGACTTTTGATAATGGTTTTCTACCATTAGACTCCTCTGGGAGCATGGTCTCCATCTGCCTTAACTGCAGACACACATGGTTCATCCACTGATCAGTGCCTTCAACATCACCAACAGCTGTGAGACCAACATAAAACAAAGAGCCAACCTGACTGTAGAGATTCTGAGGAGGTGTAATCTGGTGTAGCCCTGGAGGTAGCACCACAGTTAAAGGTTAAGATTGTGGGATGATTGAATGAAGAACTGATCCGTGAGTGCTCCGAGACAAAGTTTGCTGACGACCAAAAAAAAAAAGTTTGCTGAGGCTTCTTGCATTTATGCTGCTAGATTAAAACTGGACTTTGACTTGTTGACTTAGAAGCTGGTTGAACTGATTGAGGAATTATGTCTTGCTGTTAATCAGTGTTGGGACTGCTGTTCATTAAACACAGACTTTCACTGTGTGATATCCTTTACCAGCCCACTACCTATTCCCTTAATAAAGTCCTGAATCATGAGTGAAGTCTGTGAGTCAATTTGCAACAAACATCAGAGTCAGTGATTAGGAGAAGTAGAGGAGGCTGGGGTGAGTGGGGCATGCCCAAACCTGTGGGTATTTTTTGTTACTGTAGATGTTATTGATGGGCACAGTCCCCCTTTATGAATCTGGTGGATGTCAGCCTCAGCCTTCTCATGCTGATGCTGGGTTTTCCCCCCCATTTACAGGAAGGATGAAAACTTAGAAGTAATATTTATTTAAGGGCTCCTGTTTATATCCAGGAGTCATCACTCAGTAGTAGTGAAACACACAGTCTTAACTAGCCAAGTACAAAGGAAGTCTTTCTTCTATTACAGTTATTACTCATCTGTGTATATGAGTTTCTATCAGGTTGCAATTTATAAATATTTTATTCTTTTTCTATTCTTTGCCAAACAAATATACCTTGTCCTCTCTGATTTTTAGTGCTAAAAAGAGGTGTTAAATAATCCTCATTTTTATCTATACTGTCTCAAAATGATGATTACTTTTTTCCAGTTTAGTTCAATGAAAAATAGTTGAAATGTGTGCTGCAGTGATTTATTCAAGGGCTTGCTTTATAGCGTCTGGCTTCAACTTTCACCACATGGCTGATTTAAGGTGTCTGTTTTCCCATGAAGGAGACTGGATAGCTTGATAATAACATTATACAAATAAACTAAACAGATACTTTAGGGTGGGAACATGCAAATGCAACATGCATTTGTTCAATTTCCCCAACTCATTAGGCTCAAAGTGATCAACACCAGAGGCAGAAAACAGAATTGCAGTACCATCAAGACAGAAGCAGCAGAGGCGGCAGTGCTAGGCCAGAGATTCCTGTGGGAGATGGAGTGACACTGAGAAGCAGGAAGGGCTCCAGCAGCAGCAGGGGTGGCAGCAAATCAGAGACCAGCTTGAGACTCTGCCAGTAACAGAGCCAAAGGCTAGCACCATGATGTAGACACTGTGTGCGTGTGTTTGCAAGACTAACAGAACTAGAAGAGCTTTGTGACACACATAGCCTAGAGCCACGAGGCTGAACCTCTGGAAGACAGGAAGCTCTGTCTATGAACCCACCTGAGTAGAAACTGCACTCCTGAAGAGTTTATTCTGAGCGCTTCTTATCTATTACTTTCCTAACAAAGCCCCATCATTGTGAGTATTGTTTGTGAGTTCTGTGTGGCTGTTGCAACAAATTGGTGGTAAAAGCTGTGTTGTAATCCCAAAGGCACATGGTTTGAGGCCACCAGCCACTCCGTGGGAGAAGGATGGGTAATCTCCTGTACTATGTACTTGCCTCTGGAAACCTGCTGGAGGGCCAATTATAGGCCAGTTCTGACTCGACAGCACACCACACAATAATAGAAATCAAGTAGTGAAAGCCATGGGAGGGATACATGGTGTTAGAACTGACAGAAGAAGGTGCAGGACAGAAGAAGGTGGAGGCATGCTGGTGCTATAATGGGGTTTGTGCTGTTGACGGTTTCAATGGGATTCTTCACCCTGCTGGACTTAGTGGAGGTCAGACTCTAATAACCACACTAGCTCGCTGTATTATTATAGCAAAAATTTTGTTGTTTTCGTTAAATTTTTTTAAAAAAACACTGCTTTAGACCTTTGATTATTTATGCTTAGAAGAGAAATTCCTGAAATCCTAAAATTCTGGAATTAGAAGGGAGAAAACAAAAAGTGAATCTAGTTATTTTCTATTACAAATGTACACAGCATTCAGAGAGGCTAAAGAACCCTCTGAGTTAAAGACATGCCTAAGGATAATGCTTAGGAGCGAATAATCAATGATTAAATCACTATCAACTGAATTACTAATCTCTAAAAGAATATTCCACAAAAATATAAATGGCACCTCCTAGGTCTTACCAGAGGAGTAGTATCAATTTCAGGTAGCACGCCAAGCGGAGGTCTGCAGAGAAGCAAGGATACTTCTGGAGATGTTCCCCGGAGAGCGGATATGACTTCCTGGGGGAGGGATCATGGATGAAAATTAAAAAAAGAGTCAAATCATAATTACAAAATTGTCCTCAAAGACAAACTCATGTTATCATTAAGAACTCTATTCTCCATACGGGAGGTGCTCACCTGCTGAGACAGTCCTTTCAAGGAGGCGCCATTCACCTTCAAGATCACATCACCTACAACAATTTTTCCACTCTCTGCTGCTGGTTGTCCAGGAAAGAGCTTTTTAACTCTTACTATGCTGGTATTAATTTGCTCGGATAAAAGATTATCTTCTCGTGAAAAACTGAATCCCAGGCCTGAGCTATTTTTAAATAATTTCACCTCAAATGTATTTTCTGGAGGAAAAGAAGTAGATATAAAAAAATATTAACTATTTTAACATGAAACATAATTATGGGCATACACACTTTTATATGAAACTTTAGAAAAACCCCAAAACACCCCTCACCACTGTTTCACAGTATCTGTACATTTATTGCTATGGACCTTTATATGCAAGCCCTATTTCACATTTCTGATGCCAGTGAGTTTTGATCATTAAACTGAATCAGAACCTACTCAATGGCACACAGTAATAGCAACACCATTAAATTATGAAAACGTAACTATGCTGCATGAAAATAAAAAAGATCTGAAAGCAGGGTTTTGAAAATGAAATTATGTTTTTATTGTATTTTTTTAAAAGTCTACACAGGAGAAAGGCAAGATGGCAGTTTCGGCAGTTATCTGGTACTGTCCACAGAGAACAGACACAGAAGATGCCAGGCAAATGTAGGAGAACTGGTAACTCAGAACTCCAGAAAATAGCGAATAAACTTAAGAGATCAGCTTTGAGACATGCAGTGCAATTCCTTACCCACTGGGTTTGCCACACAGCTTCTTTCCCACTACACCACCAGAGAGCTCTCTAGAACTGTCTTTAAAGAAATTCTAAAGAATTCTGGCAGGTGGCAAGGAAAGCACAATGGACAGTAACTCTCAAGGTTGTAAAGGTCGGGGTTGGGGAGGGGGTTATTAAAGGTTATTTCATGGACAAGCGTCTTTTTTAAGGTGATTCAGTTGCAAATTTTAATTGTTTTATTTTTTATGATTTATGATGACAACTGCACACAAAAAAATAGTAAAAAGCCTATATTAATTATATAGATTGTTTTATATATAAAGGATGTAACGGCTGGCAACGTAGTGAGTAAGGAGTTGTGCTGTCAACCCAAAGGCACACAGTTCAAGTCTACAAGCTGCTCCAGGAGAGAAGGATGGGCAATCTCCTATGCAACTTACTGCCTCTGAAAACCCACTGGAGGGTCAGCTTTGAGTCAGTTCTTCAAGGTAAACAACAACAATAGGTGATAACAACGCAAAAGAGAAGAGGGAATAGCTGTTTAGGATTAGCTTCATTGTATATTACTAAAGGCAGCATAAATTTAAGTTGTTATTGTTGTTATGTGCCGTTGAGAGACTTGTGACTCTTCATGATTCTGTACAGCTCTCAACCCTGCTTTAGTTTAAGCCAACTTTATTGTCTCTGACCCACCTATTACTATTATCCCTGTCACTGAGTCAGTCCATCTCATCCAGGGTCTTCCTCTCATGCTCTGTCCCTCTACCTTCCCAAGGATGATGTCCCTCTCAAATATGAGATATTAAATGCAATATTTGTTAATGGTAACCACAAGAAGAAAAAAGCCTAGGAATATACACAAAATGAAAGAAGAAAATCTTATCATTCACTATTAAAAAAAATCAACAAAATGCAAATATTGGTAGTATTGAAGGAAATGAAGGATAAAATACACAAAAACAAAATAATAAAATGGTAGACTACCAGGAATATAAATCGTTCCAATCAAAGGAAGAGTGTGGAAAAATGGATTTTTTTTTTAAAAAAAGCAACACAACACAAAAACCAAGCCACATGATAAAACTAGATTCTATCTACAAGAGATACAGCTGAGGCCAAAGAACCAAGTAGGCTAAAATTGAAAAGGCAGAAAAAAGAAACATTTCAAGCAAATAATATTTTTTTTTAAAGAGTCGGTGTATTTTAATAAGATAAACAGACGTTAAGGTAACATTTATTATAAGAGATAAAGAAGGACATTACATAACGATTGGTGTATTGTTATGTACCACTGAGTTGGCACTAACTCATGGCTAACTCTCTAGCAGGTTTTCAGAAGCAGTAAATTGCACAGGTGCTTGTCCATATTTCTGCCTTTGTACAGCTGTGGGCTTTGCACCACATGACTTTAGGCTGGGAACACAATTCCTTACCACTAAGCCTCTGGACGTAAAATGGTACAAAGGTCAATTCTCCAAGAAGATCTAACAATCATAAATACATATGCACTTCAGACAAAAGTTCCTAAACAAACACTGCCAGAGTGAAGGGCTATCTGTTGTAGTTACGTCAAGACAGAACCAGCTGACCCTTCAGGTGGTTTTCAGAGACAATAAATTGGGCATCTTTTTCTCTTGAAGCAGCTGGTAGATTCGATATGCCTGTCTACTTGATGGTACATAACAACAATAACATAGTATGGATTCAGATTATTACTTCTAATTGACAAGGATTACTAAAGAGAATAGGACATGAATCCTGATCTGATGTGTAAAACTAACACTTTTAATAAACCTTGAATAATTTAAAGGTGAGATGAAATAATTAATTTCTCAGGGTCTGACCTTCAGTGACAAAGCTGTAGTCTTTGACATGAGTTGTTTTTTTCACAATTTTTTCTTGGACTTGACCTTGGGTGTCAGAATCTGGAAGAGTACATTGTGGAGTGACAGGGACGTGCTCTTTGGATACTGGAGATTGCCCCTTTTCTAACAAAAGATGAACCACCTAGAAAGAAATGGAACAGTACTTTGTTAAGATGAATTATAAGAAAATGAGAGACTTCGTAGCAAAGAATGTGATCTTTTGGCCAGTTAACAAAAAGGTTGGTAGTTTGGATTCACCAGCAGCATCGTGGAATTAGGCTGTTGTACATAGGGTCGCTATGAGTCGCAAGTGACTCGACGGCACATAAAAACAACAACAACAAATCTCTTCCAGTAAAGATTTATAGCCTTGGTGAAGTGATGGAGGATTGCTATGAAACAGAAATTATTTGATGGCATTGGGGTTCATTTTTGATTATTTTTTTATAAGAAAATAGATACATTTTTATAACTGTATGTAGTTGATGATTTAAAATAAATATCTGGCATCCAGGAGGCTGGGCTCTATGAGGAGAAATGTGGGGTCAAGATTGATGGAATATCTAGCAACAATCTGCATTATGCAGATGACACGACCCTGCTTGCTGAAACTGAAAAGGACCTGAGGCGCTTGCTACAGAGGGTCAAGGACTGCAGTCTCCAATAAGGATTGAGGCTCAAAGTCAAGAAGACAAAGATTCTCACCACTGGTCCAACTGGCAGCATCAGGTTGGATGGTGAAGAGATCTACATTGTTCACAGCTTTAGTTTGCTTGGCTACACAGTCAACACTCTTGGCACCAGCAGCCAGGAAATTAAAAGACGTATTGCAATGGGAAAGTCTGCTGTTAGGGACCTCTCCAAAGTACTGAAGAGCAATGGTGTCTCTCTGGAGACTAAGGTGTGTCTGATACAGGCCATGGTCTTTGCAATCACTTGTTATGCATCAGAGAGTTGGACAATGACTAGGGAGGATAGAAGGAGAATTGATGCCTTTGAGCTGTGGTGCTGGAGAAGAGTATTGAGGGTACCATGGACTGCTAGGAAAACAAACAGATTCATCCTGGAGAGGGTTAAATCTGGCAGCTCCTTGGAGGCAAGGATTCTGATGCTTTGTCTAACATACTTTGGACATGTTGTAAGGAGGGACCGGTCCTTGGAGAGGGACATCACGCTTGGGAGGATGGAGGAAGGATTGATTCAGTAACTGGGGTAATCAGGTGGGAGTGTTAGAGACAGTGTGATCGGCACAGGACAGAGCAGAGTTTAGGGTTGCTGTACATAGGGTCGCTATGAGTTGCACGTGACTTGGCACATAAAAACAACAACCCTGAAACATGCTTTTGTTGATTGCCTTTGGGTCGAGCATGACTCCTTGCGACTCTATGACCAAACGGTCTGAAGCCTTTCTATAGCTATTGACATTTTTCAAAGTTCATAGAATTTCTGGAGGCATGTTCTTTAGGAAGTGGATGCCACTCCTGCAACACAGGTAAATAACCGCCCCCCCCCCATTGCCACTGAGTTAGTTCTAACGTATAATGATTTGCCACTGTTTCTGAGGCTATAAATCGTCATGAGAGGTTCATCTTTCTCCCACAGAGCAGCTGGTGGCTTCAAACTACTGATTTTTCAGTAAGCAGCCTGATAGGTCGACTGTGCTACTGGAGATCTTAGGGAGGAAACAAATGGGACAAAAAATAAGTGATTAAAATTTTAAAAATCACATGTTGAATAAAATCACCAATTAAAAAAGGAAAAAAACTAAGTCTATTACAAATTCATGTGATCATATAATATAAAATTTGGATACTGGAAAATAATCACCATCGTCCTCCCATTTGATTTACCATCTCTGAAAACTGAGGGTAAAACTGAGGGGCAAAAAAAAAGGTGAGGATCAGCTATGGATCAGTTCTGATTCAACAGCACACAAGTTCAACAATAATAATATAAAAAGGGAGTTCTGGTGGCTCAGTGATAAAAAATTGAGCTGCCAACGCAAAGGTACGCAGCTTTAATCCACCAGCAGCTCTGCAGGAGAAAAATGGGCAGTCAACTCCAGTGAGGTTTAATGCCTCTGAAATCCCACTGGAGGGTCAGCTAGGAGTCAATTCCTACTAGACAGCACACAACCACAACATTCTATACAATCATAATATTTTAACAAAGTTTCTAAAACAAATGTGGCATTTAGACCTTAAAAATGATAAAGGATAGAATGAATAAATAAAAGCTTATGGGGGGGAAAGTAATCCCAAACCCATCTAATCAAAAAAAGGCAACTTCTTTGCAAGACCTCTTTCTCCTCAATTTAGAAGGGGGGAATAATTCACAATATTACATGAATTTGGTTTTTCTTCCTGGTAACAAATCTAGAGATTCAAAGAGATTTATATTACTTACACATTAGTATTCCTTCAAGGCAATGCTATATTGATCTATTACCTGGCCTGTATTTCTCAGTGTTTCTACAGCTTGCTTATGGGTTGCTCCTTCCAGACTAACTCCGTTGACAGCAAGGACTCGATCACCTAATACAATCCATAAAGAATAAATTATAAAAGAACAAAAATTCTACACAGTCTCTCAGACCTTATTTTATAGTCATTTGTTCGAGTAGAGATTTAGGAAAATTCTATTTAACAATAGCATAGATTCTTTACTTACTACAGTATTTAAACTCTCCCACTGATAGCTTGTTTTAGGAAAATACCCTTATGAAAGCCAGTTTAAATTATAAGAAAATATAAATCGTAAACTACAATCAATAGAGATTATAGCGAAGTTGTCTGTTAGTATTGTTTAGAAACATAGATGCCATTAATGTTACAAGGGCATTTTTTTTCCTCTTTCATTCTCAGACAAAAGCATTCTTTAGTTATTATTTTTATGTTGACAATAAGCTAGATGTTTTTGAATAGTATCAAGATCATAAAAAGTACATCTTCTTGTTGACCATCTCATTATGTGAAATTTTGAGTTTCTGACAATAGTAAAATATGGCTGGTCCACGAGTCTCAATAATCTGGCAAAAGTGTACCGATACAGTTTGATTGTATCAATTCTCTATTTAGTGATGTGGTGTGGTCATCCTCCATTTTTGCATAATGCTGATTTTTGCATAATGATCTGGTCTTTGGAGCCTAACCATATCCAAAGGTGAGGAATGGTGTAATAAAGTTATTCTACATGGTGAACAGAGGATCTAGATTAACTCCCTCATTTCTGTCTATTCAAATAATAGCCATATACATAAATTCAAATGGATATACCCAGATACATAACACATCAACATCATACCTTTGTGTATTCTACCATCAGATTCTGCTGCTCCCTTGGGAATCACAGCTTTCACATAAATGCCGCCATGTCTGACACTGGTATTCACACCTCCCTACAGCAGAAAAAGATACACAAAATAAATTTTATTGTGAAAACGGGCACTTATCCTCTCTCAAATTTGAGACCTAGGCGACATTCAGGCCATCAGCCAAAGCAGCAGCATTAAATCAGCATATGCAATTATTCTAATATTTGAGAATTTTTTTGGCTAATTTTTCAAATGTAAAAGAAGTTTCTTTTTTAAAGAAATTTTATTCAATTAAAAAAGAAATCACAACAAGCCAGATGAGGACTACGTGAGGAAATGCTTGTCTTTGTTAAGTGTACAGCTAGCACATGCACTGTAAGCAAGCAGAAAGCAAACCCATGCAATATTAACTGATATGACAACAAAACAGGTATGAAATGGTACACTTCAGATCATATTTACTGATCTGAAAGAAAATGCCATGAATCACAGAAGAAAGTTTTCTTCCACTTTAAAAGACTGTGGGAAAGAGGTGATTTATGGTAGAGGTGAGAGCTACTGAGTGGAGGGTCTATCTACCACAGATATAGAACGTTCATTTCTTTTCACCAAAGGCAGACAGTAAAATTCAAAAGAAATTTAGGCTAACATGAAAAAAATTACACTATTTTAAAATGTATTAGAAAGTTATATATATTTTTTTTTAAAAATCTCAACATATTACAAGTTAATGCTTCAAGGCACAAGTGGCTAAGCATCTGACTACCAGCTAAAAGGTTGGTGGTTCAAACCCACCTAGCTGCACAACAAAAGAAAATCTGACAATTTGCTTCCAAAAAGATCACAGTCTTGTAGACCTCACGAAGCAAGTTGACTCCACAGACATGGGTTACCATGAACCATGAGTTAGATTCATTTGATGGCAAACCCTGGGGTTTCTAAGATTAGTAGAACTCATGTATATTCCTCCTGTTTCTAAATAGGTTTTATATGCATCACTAGCTTTCAAATGTGCCAAATTACAATGTCTAGTTTCTTCATTCAAAAAATTCTCAAGTTATTTTATCAAACAGTCCATGCTTATAATTTATCAATCTTGAAACTATATATTTGTGGGGAACTTCAAATTTTAATATTTCAAACATGTTTATATTATATATTATGAAGACAAAATGGGTATATATATATATATATATATATATATATGCCTCTCTAGACATAAATAAGATGGACATAGTTGAAAGGTGTTTCGTTTAATTAGTCCATGCTCATGCAAAAGATGTTAAGTGTACAAGAAGCATAAATATTAACTTTAAATTGCATTAGTCTTATAATCAGAATAGGGAACTATGAATTCTGGAAGATTGGGAAGATAACACATGTCTAAATTTTTTTTTAATCACAAGAAAAAAGTGAATAACATACTCAATTGTGAATAATGTTTAAAGGCATAATTCCATTTTTAAATTTTAGAAATACTTATCAAGTGCCTCTTTTGAAGTAAAATGATTCCATTAGTAAATTAGCATACAATAGGCTGCTGCAAGTGGAGAAGAGGAAACATTTGAAAACCTTGTCAAACAGTACCGTGACACTTATCCCCAAGCTGTTATCATTTTTAGCCAGTTCAACCTCAAAGATATCTCCAGGTTTAGGAGGTGATGAAGAAAAAGTTTTAAAATTCATTTTGTTGGATGTGTTCATTGAGGAGGAAGAGTCCTTAACAAAGAAAAAAAAAGGGTTTCCTGTTAGAGTCAAAATGAATTATTATTGGATGGCCAATATATTTTTTTGGAAATAAAAAAATCCAATAATAGCAACAACAACCATTCAAGGTTTGTTGAAGAATAGAGTTTTTTCAAAGTTTGTAGTAGTTAAAAGAAATATCACAGATCACTTAGTCCAATTTTTTTTTATTGGTTGAGGAAACTGAAGCCTAGAAATAAGAAGGTCTTGCTCTAAGTCAACAGCTAGTTGTGGAAGAGAGAAGCCAATTCAAACCTGGCTTTTATATAATTCTTACCCAATGTTTTTTATAGCGTCAAATTTGTAAAGAGTTTCTATTTTCCCTAAAAGTCATTATTTATTAAGTGGCAGCTAGCACCTTGAGGAGCCGGGCTAGCACACTAGTCAAAGTGCTTGGCTGCCACCCAAAGGTGAGAGGTTTGAATTTCCCAGCTGTTCTGCAGCTAGCAGAAAAGGCCTAGTGATCTGCTTCTGTAAAGATTACATAGGAAGCATTACGAAACAGTTCTATGATCCTGTAAAGTCACTGTGAGTTAGAATTGACTCCAGGGCACAAAAAAGTTATCACCTCGAGGTCTCTAAGACGAGCAGGCTTCAAGAAAACTGTGCTTATGTTACAAATCCAATATAAGCATATACAATGCAAATGTAAGACTGGCTTAAGAGTTTTTTTATGCAGCTTATCATATAGAAAAGTTTTTGTACTTTTCAAATTTGAGATGTATTTGATAATTTAGTATGTAATACATATTAAACATGTATCACATATTAAATGAAATATTTTATTTAAAATATTTTTTAATTTTTCGTTAAGATTAAAAATTCAAAGCTTTCTTAATTTTTTTCCATATTTGATGTAAAGGAAGTTGCAACTTAAGTGTCATCTAAGTGGCTGAAATAATATACATAAACAGAAGCTAAACTGCAATACCAAGATCAAAACCCTCTTGACAGGAATATTGAGTTTCTAGTAAACAAGAAAAAAAGGGTTTCTTTCTCAAACTGTGAATGGGAATATAAATTTCTATCAATGATAAGAAAATTTCCTAAGAAACATCTCTAGCAAATTTTCAATGTTATTAATGCTTTAGACTTCTGAGGATTTTAGGCTATCATTAGGAAAGTCAACTGTCCACTTTAAGAACTAATAGGAACAATTTGGTTTTTAGATATTTAAGTTTGGTCAAGAGAAAAACAACTTAAAAGAAAACAAGCATAGTCTGATCATTTTCTCTCCCTTGTCTAATCAGGTAGCAAGCTTTCAGACAACAGCTAGTTCAGTTAGTAGGTATAGCTTCTAACTACTCTGAAAGTTAGCCATCAAATGCAATAGCTGTTAGTGGCAGACCACAGAAACTACTCCTCTTTTCCAGAACATGTAAGTAGCTTATAATAAATTATAAGCTTATATAATAAATTCTTAGCATTCTTGTTGTTTGGTTTAAATTAAAAAATAAAGAGTAAAATTCACTTTGCCTTTTGTGCTGTTTGCTGATCCTGACTGCTGGAATAAGTAGCTTCATCCATGTCAGAATCTCCACGATCAGAGTAGTCTGTAGCATCAGAAATGCCTGTTTTTTTAGCTTTGCTTCGGTGACTGTCAATGGACATTCTCTTTTTTTCACAAGCTTTGGATATTACAGATGGAGAGGGACTACCATGCTGTGACTCCTTCCAGGTTCGGTCACCTCCATGGCTGGCAAAGAAGCCATTGACCTGGCTCTGGGACAAGCTGGCACTTTCCGTTCTCGAATCTTGAGAACTTAGGCTTCCTTCTCGCAGGCCCTCAGGTAGTCCAAAGGAATTGTCCGAGGTGTGTCTCAGGGTACCATGTGGCCAGCGCCGATCCTCGAAAGAAGTTATAGAATTATCTTGCACGTAGGATGGCTTCTTCACATAGTTTTTCATACCATTGGCAAGATGAACAGGAGTAGTAGGCACTATGAGTTAAAATTCATCAATGAAACTCTATTAGTGATACACATGTATGTGCTTATACACCATTTCTCCTGACCTGCTGGGAAGATTTTACACATTACGGTAACAGGTACAAAACACCAGACCCAGGGCTGGAATCACAGCAGGGACCCAATTAATGCTGGATTCTACTTCCCACTTGGGTATATGAAATGTGCAAAGGTTAAAACATTTTTACAATGTCTAATCATTTCGTATGAAATGAGATTTGTACATATTTTTTAGTCCTTTAACCTATTGTTACTGCTAGTCCTAAAATTCATTATGTAAACATGTTTTTCAGCTAACATTTACTAATTTTTGGGTTACTTATGTATTTCTCAGTCTCTCTGAAAGTCAATTACATATATTTATCAGCTCACCATCTAAAAAAATACTATTAATATAGTTAAGACTTGTATTGTTTAATATGGGCTAGGCTAGGTGTTAATTCTTTATGGACAAAATCTCACTTAATTCTCATCATCTATAAGATAAACATTTTTATAGCTACCATTTGATTATATGAGCACCGTGAGGTTTAGACTGTTTAGGCAACTTGCTCAAGCTATGAAGTTTTAAGTGGTGGAAGAGGTATAATCTGTCTCTAGTTTGCCTGAGTCTAAAGCCCTCTCTGTTGTCCAGGATGCTGGGCTGTTCCAGCCCCTCCTTGTTGTCCAAGATCATTCCAACACACATGTGGGGAGTACTTTTTCCTTAAACACTGCCCCGTCACTTAACATTCATAAGAACTCTGGGCAAGGCTGTTTCCTTCTTAAAACTAATGGTCTTCAAAACGAAAAATTGTGACTCAAGACTTAAGCCATGTAGCTAATGGACCACAAGGAAGGCTCAGCCTCAGATCTTGTGATCTCTGTCAAGTGTCCTTTCCTCCCACAGCCTGCTAATGGCAGAGATTATTTTAGAGACAAATGGCATGTCTTGTTTTGTTTTGAAGTTTCTTGTTTATTGTTACTTATTTTTCTTTGTAATCTCTTTCAAGGTATGACTTAATAGGTAATTGTACAAAGAATTTTATTTCTGAATTGACCTAAAAAGGAAGGAAACACCAAAAATGCTCAAAATTTACTCCACTGATACCAACTTTGCACAGCAAAATGGTTTTTATACATGTCACTAAAGAAGAATAAAACAGAAAAGCCGGGAAGTGACCAGTAAAAAGGTTATACCAAAAGATAACATATAAAACACCAAAAATTACTTCTATTAATTTGTCATAAAAGATAAAAGAAACTTAAATCCAGTTTATTGAGATAATACTTTGTGTCTCTTATGAAAAGTGAAGTATTACACTCAACTATGAACCATTCGCAGAATGCAAACTAACAAAAACTTTACCTTTGGACATTTTTTCTTTTGGCTGAGAGATAACAAGTGTCACATCTTCAGGTGCATTTTGCAAAATTTCAGTTGCAGCATGGTGGCTGACCCCTTCCAGACTCACACTGTTCACAGATATCAAACGGTCCCCTGTAACAAGAGACAGTGATTCTGATGAATACAGTATTTTCAACAGTAAACATATGCTAACCATAGAAAGTGTCATCTCTCTCAGTATTTCTGTTTTCTCCAAGATCTACTTTTGCCATCTATGCAAGTTCTTGCTGGTCAATAAGCATTTGGGAAACTCTTAAAAGGTCGCTACCTGGCTTTAAGCATCCGTGCAAATCAGCAGGTCCTCCAGGAGTAATCGAGCTGATAAATACACCTAGATCCAGTCTTCCTATCTTCTCCCCACCAATAATTTGAAATCCTATTAAGAAAAAAGGCACAGTTTAGCAAGATCTTCAATATACCAGTGCTTTCAGTAACTAATCATAGCCTACTTAAAACACAGAAGTGTGAAGACTTCTTATTGCAAATAGAAGAAGGTTTTATTACCTTTGGGGGTGCTGGTTTAAGAGTGCTGGTTGGCCTAGTGAGAAGGGGTTGTGATGCCAAACTAAAGGTAGGTGGTTCGAATCCAGCACAGGAGAAAGATGAACAATTTTCTCTGACGCAATTCACTGCCTCTGAAAACCTACCAGATGGTCACATTTTTTGAGTTGGTTCTGACTCAAGAGCACGTGACACAACAATTGACACCATTGAGGTAGAACTCGTAAATTTGGTCAGTGTTAAATTAGGGCTTCTCGGCTTTATTCTGGCATTTCCTGATGGGTCAGGTAGATTAGTTGGGTTATAGGTAGGTAGCAGTATATTAATCAGAAGTGGAATGCTTTATCAATACGGAAGTCTGTTTATATCTTTTCTTTGTGAGTTCTCAAGGATCTTAAAAAGAGTCTTTTGGTGACTTACCTAAGCCACATTTCACATCTTTTTTTAGGTTCACCAACGTGATCTCCCTTTCTGGTGAAGATACAATGCTCCATCTTTTTTGTAGTACATCTATTGAAAATGTATAATTTTAAAAAAAAAGTGAACATAATATATTCAGGCATTAAGATTGGCAGCCTGTTCCAATTTAAATGTTAAGGCTTATTAAGAGATGTTCAGTCATTTAAAAAATACTTTAAAGCTACTGATGCTACTACCATCATCTTAAATTTAATAGCTGACTTAGTTTATAAAAGAAGCATATGTTAGCAATTTACTCATCATAAAATGTTTCTTATTAAATATGTATTTCATTTCCAAATGAGTGAATTAATTTCAATAGGTTAAAATTATTTGAGCAGGTTTACTTAAAGAGTAAAAGAGCTGAATCTTAAACTTATGTTTTCTTAACATTTCTTTCTACCTAAATTTCATAATGCTAATATATTAGCTATCAAGCTGAAGAGGTAACTCATGGTTGCTGTGATGCTGAACACTGGGACACAGATGTGCCAAACGTGGTAATGGGTAGCCATGGTGGACAGTGTTTGCTGGAATTTCCCGACTAAAACAAGTCTGGAAGCAGGAGCAGCATCCACTTCCAAAATGGCTCGCCTCCGGAAATTCTATCTTTTATTCATAGGGTCGCTACGAGTCGTCTACGACTCGACGGCACCTAACAACAACAAGAATACATTAGGAATTTAATTAAAAAAAAAAAACACACTGGCAATTTATGATCAAAATATTTCTAGTATGTTCTAGTGTAAACAACAACATATGGCCCTAAATTTATTTTTCAAATCCCAAAATGACTTGTCTAGCATATTTAGATTACAAAAAGTAAAATTCATTTCTTTTCAACTTTATTTGTGGAACAAACCATTAAGTTAGATAAAAGCCATGTTTAGTTGATGTTTTACAGATGAAGAAAACAGTTTGTGACTTGCTCACACTGAGCTTATATCACAGATCAGTAAAATATGTGAAGTCAATATTTGGTACATGCTTATTAGATAGAATTTACTTTTTCATACATTCACTTGGAATTTATTTTTTAAAAAGAGGCTCATAGTTCAGAAATATCCCTTTAATTAGACTAGTAAGTATGCCAGTTAATTTCTAGGGTGATAAAAGTTAATTCATTTACTTTCTACTCCACGTATTTAAAGACACATACACTCAACATACAACTTTAATTAAATTACAATTTGACAATTCAAACTGGTCTCTATGACGGTGGTGGTAGTAGTATGAGTTAGGGCAACACATTTATAAATATACTGTTGAATGTGAAATCTTCAAATTCAACTCCACAAAGGGTCTGTAAGCAACTGCAGCTTTCTGAAAACTAAAGATTACGGCTTCATTACAATGTCAAGGGTCTGTAAGCAACTGCAGCTTTCTGAAAACTAAAGATTACGGCTTCATTACAATGTCAAGGGTCTGTAAGCAACTGCAGCTTTCTGAAAACTAAAGATTACGGCTTCATTACAATGTCAACTAGAATTCCCTGAAGCTTTTATATGTATTTTTGTAACAACCAAACCACTATAAAAACAATCTATTTCTATATTTGTCATATATATATATATACAATAGACATAAACTAATGTATTCTTAAATAAACTTAAAACTGTAACACAACATGTATTGATGGGTGATACTCTGATATCTGGAAATAATCTCTTCGTTTTAGACAACAGTAATACAAGGGTGAACTGAAATGAACCTTGTCCTTTAAGTAGCATTCGTGCAAGTTTGTCAGTTCTAGTAACATGCATGCTTCTATTCTGTTGTTCCGTTATTATCTACACTTAAAGTCAATAAATAGTTAAGTAGTAATTAATTATGTACATAATGCAATAGTTAGTAATTAAGTACTTTTAATAACATTATTAAAGCAATTCCCCAAAACACCACTAGACAATGGTAAAAAGAGTCCTATATGGGTAATTCTAAGAAAAAAATCCATTATTATTTAATGCTTAATTTGGTGAAATTATTTCAGCATTAATTAATAGAGAAGTTGGGTAACAGGGAAGACAATACACATTAAGGGGCTGAGTAGAAATAGGAATAATTAATTGCATTAATCAATGTTATAAAACAAAATATTTTTGAAAAAATTGTGACTTGAAAGAAATATGATTTAGAAAACTTTATACAAATGAAAAATTGAAAAAAAAATCTTTATTTCAGTATCTTTGTTGTTGTTGTCAAGTCCCCTCAAGTCATAGGCGACTCACAGAGACTCCATGAACGAAAGACCTGAACACTTGTATAACTTTCATTCTTTCTCCTGGTTCTTAGGGTTTCTGGAGGCAAGCTATTTCAGAAATGGATGCCAATCCTGCTTTCAAGCTTGTTTTAATCGCGGAGCTCCACCAAACACGGTCCACCATGGGTAACCACAATCACAGTTGACACATCAGTGTCCCAGTGTTCAGCATCACAGCAACCATGAGTTACCTCTGTACAGCAAGCGGACAGACCAGTGCTATATCACTTAGAAGAATGTTTGACCAAAAACAATTAAAAACAGGCCTGAGGGTATCTTAGATATTTTTATTCTAAATTAGACAATTAGTTTAAATTTTCAGCTGGAACCAAACCAGGGTTTTAACTCATTTATTGCTGGTTAGTCATGGACAATCAAGCAACACTGGCATGGACCAGAATTTTTAAAGATTATTAACCAGCTGATAACAGAATGAGAAAAACTGTCCTACATAAAATTTAATCTTCCTATGAGAAAACAAGTAGAGCATGCACACTGCATAGAACTCACATCTTCTAACTGGCAGAGTCAGAAATAATGGTGGCCTGCTCAAAAACAGAGACTAACTTAGCTGCTTTCAATGTATTGTGCTCTCCACAGTCCTGATAATAATCCAGTCTCCTGTGTTAGGCTCCTAAAGGGCTCCTTAAACCTTTTTTAGTCTTCCGACCCAGGACTTAAACCTGTAACTTTTTTCCATTACTATCTTTTTCTACTTAAATCAATTTTAAAATATTTGTTCTAATTTTGTCACATTGGTTATGACTGAATTAGTTGGAACCAATTTGAGCCAAACCCAAAATAAAAGAGAAGAAAAAAGTTTAAAAACCACCATCATGTTTATTTGAGTACATGTTTTTAGCTGATAAGAGGAAATAACTTAAAAAAAGTTAAGTGTTCTATAAAGTCATTGGAAGATAATGATTGTTGTCTATCTCTATTTCTTGAGATTTAAGCACCTGTTGCCTGTGGAACTAGAATCCTTGGAAGCTGATGAGTGAGACTCATTACTCTGTCATACCTAAAAAGTCCTGAGGCTCATAGTTCATAGTTAAAGCAAATTTCAGGGCAATAAAGGAAAGCAGCAGCAGGGAAAAAAAATAATAATATAATAATAATAATAATATAATAATAATATTTGTGTGTAGTTGAATATGACTCAGTGACTTTATAAACAATAGATCTGAACCATGTCCTATCCTGTGCTGACCTCATCATCTCTGACACATTGGAGCCCATTGCTGTCATCCTGTGTCAATTTATCTTGTTGAGAGTTTTCCGCTCCTTCACCATCTCTCCACCTTTCCAAGTATGATGTCCTCCTTTAAAGAACAGCCTCTCCTAAGAACACACCCAACATATGTGATTGCATCCAAGAAGCAATCTGGTTTCATCCTCTCCAGGACATATCTGTTCTCTTGGAAGTGCATGGGATATTCAGTACTCTCCTTCAAGATCACAATTTCAAAGGCATCAATTTTTCTTCTCCCATCCTTATTCATTGTCCAGCTTTCAGATGCATAGTAGATGACGGAAAAGACCATGGTCTGAATCAGAGCACCCTAGTCCTTAAACTAACATCATTGCTCTTCAATAATTTGGAGAGGGCCCTAACTGTAGACTTTCCCAGTGTAATATGTCTCCTGATCTCCTGAATGCTGGTGCCAAGGGTATTTATTGTGGATCTAAGTACAATGAAGTTGTTAGTTTCAATCTTTTTGTCCATCTATCATGATGTTGACTATTGGACCAGTGATGAGAATTTCTGTTTACTTGACATTGAGATGCAATCCATATTAAAGGTTGGATTCTTTTATTTTCTGCAATAAGTGCCTCAAGTCCTCCTCACTTTCATGAAGCAAGATTGTGTCATCTGAATAACATTTGTTAGTGATGAGTCTTCCTCCAATCCTGATGCCACATTCTTCTTCATAGAGGGCCCACTTCTCGAATATGTTCAATATACAGATTAAATAGGTATGAGGAAAGAAGAAAATAGTTTAGGGAAAATAATTACTTTAGACTTGCTACTTTCCATATCCAAACCAAAGATCTACTGTTTTTAGTTGTTGTAGATTTTTACCTGGTGGCCCGACGTGGCAGTGAATAACTCCAACTAAGGATAGAAAGGGACATAGCTTGGCAAGATTTTATGTAAACTTTTGTAGAGACAAAGTTAGTTTGCTTTGTACAGAGTGTCTCTGTCCTAAATTATAAACCTGTCCAATATTTCTTAAAGTTATTTTGGAATATCTGCTAGAAATCATAGGTGTTGTTTTCAAGAACAAAATGATAGTTTCTTCTATTTATAAAATAACAAGATTGGTTCTACATGAAGCACTTGTTGTTGCAGAAGATCAAAGAATACAACCTTCAATATGCACTGCATCTCAATGCAGAGAAAACAAAGATCTGTTTTGATAGACGAACAGGCAACATGATGATGGAGAAAAGACTGAAACTGTCAACAACTTTAAATCATAATCAATAATCTTGGTACTAGCAGTCAGGACATCAGGAGACACATTACACTAGGAGAGTCTGCAGTTAGGGACATCTCCAAATTATTAAGGTGTAATAATGTCAGTGTGATTTGGGCCATGGTTTTTTTGATCACTTCATATGCAACTGAGAGCTGGACAATGAATAAGGATGACAGAAGAAGAAATGATGTCTTTGAGCTGTGGTGTTAGAGAAAAGCATGGAACATTCCATGGACAAAAGAGCAAACAAATATATCTTAGAGAGTGTGCAGCCAGAGTGCTCTTTGAAGGCAAAGATGATGAGGCTT